GATGCAATACTGATCAAAATTGAAGAGGTTTGCCCACTGATCCACTCACAGACTCTGCAGAGCTCATTGGCGGTGCCCAAGTAAACAAACAAACAAACAAACAAACAAACAAACAAACAAACAAATAACTACAGGCAGTTTTTAAGTATCTTGGTTGGGTGGGGAGCCAGCTAGCAACATCCAAGAAGGAAGTAGTGAAGAAGAAACTGGTATAGGTTCCATTATGGCCCGGAGAACTTGTCTAGCTCTTTTGGCAGAGATTGAACTGAAAGCTCTGTCCTGTGGCCAGGCATCAGAAGAGATAATATAATGGATGATGGTGACAATGCACCACATACTTATCTAAGGTGGCGTCTCTCTGTTTGTCATTCTATTGTTAAAGTTAAGTGACTCTCCTCCTCCTATCCTTCCCACCTGCCAGTCTGTGGTTCAGGGAAGATTCTCTTGGTAAGCAGTCCTAAATAAAGGCACTCAAGAAATTCCTGGATTCAGAGCTCCTTGATGGTGATGCAGATGGGGACCAGTCCTGTCTTTGATGGCTTCTGCCTCAGTGGCATGGTCAATTTCAGATCTCTCCAGGGTGCTGAATAAATACATCCAGCACATTGGATGGCACCTGTAAATGTTGGATGAAAACCCAGAGTGGATCCATTTCCCTATAGACAGTTGAGTCAGAAGCTGTCACTCCCTGTCTCACCATCACATCTTCTCCACAGAAGAAGGATCTCTGGTGGGGAACAAGTCAGAAATGCATCCTCATCTCTGCAGATCAACAGACCTGCTCAGAACTGAAATGCAGTCACTGGGGTTAATGATGGTTTTCCTTTGTCCCTTGTAGGAAGCGGCCTGAGAGGGCCTGAGAGCAGAGGATGGATACTTGAGGCAGGAGGGAGAAATGGGACTTGCATGGACCATGGTCACACTTAAAAAAGTGAGAATCAGATAGCCAGGAAATTGCCTTCAGAATATAAGAGCACCCACCTCCAGATATTCAAGATGACTGCCAAGAAGTGAATACAAGACTTTCCGTGAGTGCCTTGGAACAGTTCCTGGAGGACCCATGGGAGAATGTGTTGGTAGCTTGGACAGAATAGAACCTAAGTACAGGCTGATTCTGCCTATGTGGCAGCTCTGCGACAAAGGCAGGAACAGAATGAGGACAAGAGGCTGGGAGAGTGTCTGTGTGAGTCATTCATCAACTTCTTGTTCTCCAAGAGCCCCCTGGATCCCTGTGATAGAATTCCCTTGGGGTTGTAATAAGTTAGAAATGATTTGAAGGCACACAATGACAAAGAATTCTGCAGTTTTCTGCAATATTTGAATATCTTAGAGCAATGTATACCATATAAAAGGGAGTATCCTGCAGAAAACAGGTGGGTTTTTCTTCCAAAAAAAAGGTTTTCTGTACAGAAAGTTTCTGTTATGTGCAGAAAACACTGTTTCTTTTGAATAAAAAGTGGACTATATTGGGATGAAAAAAAATTAATGTGTTTTTCTTTACTGAATATTTCCTTCGCCATATTCCAGACATTTGAATATGAGAGACTTCTGTAAAAGGATATTAATTTTTACTGTAATTGTTGTTTTCAAGTCCTTTTCAACTTATGGCAACCCTATCATGGGTTTTTCTTGGCATGATTTGTTCAAGGGAGGTTTGCTTTTGCCTTCCTCTGAGGGTAAAAATGTGTGATTTGCTCAAGATCACCCAGTGGGTTTTCATGGCTGGTGAGGGATTTGAACTTTTCTCCAGAGTCTTAGTCCAAGGCTCAAACCACTATACTGTGCTGGGGCCAACTTTAATGGCCTTTACATCTATGGAATGAGGATATTAGTGTACATAGAAAAACATTACCCCCAGTGCAAGATGTCATTGTCCCCCGCCCCCATCCTGCATGTCAGAACAAGGAAATTGTCCTCCTCTTGAAGCCACTTGATCTCCACAGGACCCTAGAAGACAGCTGTGGACCAGACCAGGCCACTTGAGGAGGACAGTTTCCTTGTTCTGACATGATCAATCAATTGTATCAAGATGCACCATAAAAGTTCAGCTTTGTAAAGCAGCATCAGGAGGGGAGGGATTGGGAAAGTGCTGTGTTATCTCTCTGTGTATGACAGGAGCTTTGAGCAGAGGCTCAAGGGGCAGAGCAAAGCATCCTGACCTTATTAAGAACATGTCAGTGGTTGCAGAAGGAAATCAAAGATGCTCTCATCTGAGCTCCTGCTGAAAGGACTTTGCCTTCCCACTGCCTCCCCCTGAAGAGCCACAGCTGCCACTGATCTGTTCTGTAGCTTCTGATATGAGCATCCCAACCAAGAACCACTGAGAACCTGATTTTATTTTCTGACCATGTTGGGAAATGGTGCCTATCTTGTTTCATCATGGGAGTGGGGAGGGATCAGAGTGTGTTGCATGGCTGCAAGAGAGAAAGAAAGAGAGAGAAAGAGATGCTGGTGGAAGTGGGAAGCTGAGGGGCAAATAACCAGGAAAAGAAAAGTTGTGGGCATTGAATAGCTATGTTGATGGCTGGGAACCTGGTCATGATGGCTTTATGTCCTCTTCTCAAGGCTCAGAAGTGACAAGCATCATAGACTGCATCTACATTGTAGAAATAATGCAGTTTGACACCACTTTACATCCTGTGGCTCCATCCAACAGAATCCAGGGATTTGTAGTTTTTTGAGGCACCCACACTCTTTGGCAGAGAAGGCTAAAGATCTTTTAAAGTTACAAATTCCAGGATTTCATAGGATGGAGCCATAGCAGTAAAGTGGCATCAAACTGCATTAGTTCTACCATGTAGCTATATTCATAATCCCTTTTATTGGGGAACAGTAGCAAGGGGAGGTATGATTGTGCTCACATATGTATGTGTGTATTTGTGTGTGTAGGATTCTCACTGAGAATAAGTGGTTGACTACTATAATAGGAAAACTGTATGCTGGGTTAGAAAGACCACCTCAGTTTGGATCTAGTACTCCTGATCTTCCCGTGTATCAGCTGCATTGGCATAAGGATTCTCAGATCCCAGGGCATGGCCCTGACTCTCTATGCCTGATATGTCTTTTTTTTGTCTTCAGACGAGAGGGAAGAATCACAGGGTGAGAGCATTGCATTGAAAAGTGCTTTTGTGGTTGCTTGTCAAGGTATTTTTAAAGTAATTGTTACTAGATGTCCAGTTTCTCATTCAGATGGTACTTAAGTGGAAGATTCCCTGCTACATAAAATTCTGATAATTGGATTGAGGTGAAAAAAGAAAAAGGGAGTTTGGAAATGCATTTATACACAGGGTATGAGAACATAAAAAAGACATTAAAATATTTCAGTAGCACATAAAAGGAAACTTTGAAACTAACTGGGAAAAATAAATTTCTGGCATAAGCTTTTGTGGACACAGCCTGCTTCATCAAATTATAGCATTAGTCAGTGTAACTGACAGCCTGAATCTATGTTCCTGACTCACCGATTAAATTATATGTGCCCCTTTGTCTCTATTGGGTGTGCAAAAGCTCGGATGGGATGTCTGTTTGGATGCATGTCTGTTATGTAAAATATGCTTTGGAGTACATACGTTCTCTTCTGTTAGGCTTATGGTTTTTTAAAAATGGAATGACATACTCTAGAATCATAGAATCTTGGAAGAGGCACCAAAGGCTATCCAATCCAACCCCATGCCACACAGGAATACACAATCAAAGCACTCCTGACAGATGGCCATCCAGCTTCTGTTTAAAAACCTTCAAAGAAGGAGACACCAGCATACCACAAGTCAGTATGTTCCATTGTCAACCAGCTCTTACCATTAAGTTAAGTGTCAGGGTTAATTTACAATAGTTTGCCTTTGATCAAAGGGGGAACTCCCCAAGAAGAGTTCAACAAGAGGGGACCCTTTATTGATTAGAGCAAAGTTTTATAACTTCAGGTCAGTATGATTTTATGGGTATCAACCATGCATGAGCCTGAGCAAATGTGACTGGCAATTAATATGGAAACAAACAACCTTTGGGTCAAAAGAAAGGTACAGAGAGGAACAAGCTAGAAATGTTGCAGTCTGAAAACAATGAGGGTCTGGAGAACAAGTCCCTGGGAAAGCAGCCAGATTAGAGGCATTTGCAACATTAGGATGTACTGGATTCATTCCCATTACTGCCTTCTGCACCTGAGTTTTTTTGGGGTGTGGGCTGCCAAAACCCCCAACTTAACCCAGGATAATTGATCCCCCCATTTTCCTAAAATATTTGCACTGTCAGCTGTGTGACTAACAAATGAAAATAGACCCGGGATAAACCAGGATAAAACTCTGCCTGCCTTGAATGTGCTTCAAATACATCTGCATCATAGGCTCCCTCTTTATTTGCAGTGCTGACATGTGTGAGCAACAGAATTTTCAGAGATGTGCAGAGATGTGCTTCTGATAAAAAATAGTGTGAACAACAAAACCAGAATGCATGTGATTATTTACATAGTTGCACACTAAGCAACATGATGTCCGAATAGCCCCTAAATTCACTTTACAGATTCACTGTCCAAGGTCCTGATTTTTTGCCATTGACTAACATGGGAGTGGACCAGCTTAATTCTGGTTCTTGCCCTTACCTTCCAACTGTATTTCAAGATCCTGGCATGAAGAGGGGAGAATGAGATTTGGTGAGAGCCTCCAAACCAACAGTGACATTTCTCCTTTGCTGTGCAAAAACAGAAAAGTTTTTCATTTATTTATTAGCAACCTTTGTATCTTGGTATAAAAGGCAGCTTACAAAGGAAAGGGGAAACAATGCTCATGAATAAAGAAAGAAACAGTAGTGCCTATTAACCCAGTTAAAGCATGTTTAAAAGATTTGACAGGCAGCTGGTGTGCAAAATCATCTGAAAGGCAAGGTAATGTCTCTTGAAATGAAACAGATGTTTTATGAACACTCATCTACCGGGAGCTGGGTTTGGGTTCCAGAGAGCTGACACTCAGATCCCTCCATTTTGCCCATGTCCATCAGGAGTTGGGAGAGCCAGCATGGCATAGTGGTTTGAGTGTTAGACTTTGACTTTGAAGACCAGGGTTCGATTCCCAGGTTGGTCATGAAACCCACTATGTGACCTTAAGCAAGTCCCATACTTTCAGCCTCAGAGGAAGAAAATGGCAAAACATCTCTGAGCAAATCTTGCCAAGAAAACCCTGTGATAGATTTGCCTTAGAGTTGCCATAAGTCAGAAACAGCTTGAAGGCAAACAACAACAACATCAGGGGAGACCCACATTTTTTGTTGCCTGAAGGCAAAGGAGAAGACAATGTCTCACCTCTTTACCATCCACTCATGTTCACTCCATGAGACATGGGGTATCTCAAGAGGGATGAGAGCCTTGCCTAAGGATTGGAAAAACACTCAGCTGTGTCTGTTTGCATGTGAGTATAGGGGTTAATTCAGGGCTGGGAAAGGTATAATCCTGGGGCCGACTATGGCCCTAAAATATTTGTTGCGGCCCTTGGCTCCTCTAGACTCCTATGATTGCACCTTTCTTTTTTAGCTGGAAGAAGGAGTGAATTTCCTTTCCTGGGAGCTCCCAGGAGCAGCCATTCAGCTTTTAAATAAGTTGCAAGCACCTCTTCCACATTTTAACACATATTTCAAAAACTCTGCTTTTAAAATTTATTGTCATTACAAAATTATAGCTCTATGGCCCCACTTTAACTGCCATGGCAATATCTCATGAAATCCTGGGACTGGCAGTTTAGGGAAGGGCAGTCAGATTGCTCTGGTTCAGAGGTGGGCAACTGCCCAGGGGAAGGGGGCCATTTTGGCTCACTGTGTCCATCTGGAAGGCTGCACCAGTGAGTTTCAGCACACCTAAAGTAACATGATGTCATTTTTGCATGCCATTTTGGCTAACTTTTGGCCATTTCCTCCTTTCTGGTGTGCTTTTTGGTGGCTTTGTAAAGCTACATGGGCCTCATTCCCACTTGCCAATAAATCAGTTTGCAGTCTGAATCAATGGATCAGTTCGACAGCAGAGTGTGGTTCACACTACATTTTCTCCATTCACATTTTCTTGTTGTAAAATAACCCACTTGTCATTCACATTGACTAATTAATCAATTCAAAATGGAGCCTCTTCAGCTGGCCGGCAAATGTGAAGGGCAAATTTAAATTGATTCTGACCTGCATCCCATTCACACTTGCACTGAATCGATATATTGCAAAAAATGTGGAAAAAATGAGCGTCAAAAAGACATACGTTAAATGGGTCTAGCATGCGGGGGGGGGGGGGGGGGGGGTCGCCAAATTGCTGCAGCGATTTAGCTTGAGTGTGAACCAGGGTCATTTGAACCACTTTAAACTGGTTAGCGAACCAGTTCATAATGTAGTGGGAATAAGGCCAGGAAGAAAAATGCTGCATTTTATTTGGAAGTTTGGCCTATTTTTGGGCAAAAATTGCCCAAAGATTGCCACTCCATTAAAACTTTTTTTGGGGGGTGGGGTGGCATTGGGTGTTGGAGGAGTCTTTTGGATTTTCCAAGGGCTGCATGTGGCCTGTAGGTCATATTTTGCCCCCTTCTATTCTCACACCTCCCTAAACTACAAACCCCAGGATTCCATAGGATGATGCCAAGGCAGTTGTAGTGGAATATAGTGCTGTATTTGTGTAGTGTTAAATGGACCCCAGAAGTGGATTTCTGCCCATTTCCATTTTTATCTTTTTTGTTTTGTTTTATTATTTTGCTAGTTGGCCGCAGAGGGCCCTGAGGATGCAAAACTGGCTCCTGGACTTGTTGCAGTTACTCACTGCTGCTTAGGATTGTTAAGCATAGTAAAACTGGGGTGAGTGGGGCTCTAGCTGTTCACTAGCTGTTGGTTTGTGATGGACAGAGGGAAAAGGAGATGTTCTCCATCAAATGATCTTTGGACCAGCCTGGACAGGTGATAGTGGGAAGACTTTCCTCCTTTACTCCCATGGTCAAGCCACTTCATTTGGTGTCTGCAGGAGCAACTCCTGAGGAGCCAGGTTTCCATTCCTAAAAATCATTGCAAGGGATTTCAGTTTTTGTATGTCATTCATATCTTTCTTTGAAATTCACCAATTTTTACAATAGATGTGAAAAACAGGTAAGAGCCTCACAGGAGGAAAACCCAGATGAACATTTTGTAGAACATAAAAGAGCAAGTAGGGACAATGCACAGCTGAGTCCGTCTTGCGGTGCTTATTTTGGCCATTTATTTTACTTATGCAAATATTTATACCTCATTCTTCAATGCCACGAGGCTTCCCAGAGCAGCTCACAAATTATTAAAAGGAGAAATAATAACAATTAAAACCGCACAATCCTGGCAATGGATTTTCAATGCCAAGTTAAAACAGAGCCAGAAGGACAAAACCCCAATTAAAATGTAGCATGGGATCAAGCAGTCTCAAATTCCAATGATGTTGCAGGAGGGTTTCTAGCATTTGGGTGGGGACACACCACCATTCAACTAGTGAGTAGCTGTCACACCCCAAATTCTTTCAGCCCAAAAGGAAAATGAGAAGAGTACTGTTCCATCAGAGAGCCAGTATGGTGCAGAAAACCAGCATGGTGTTGTGGTTCGAGCACTGGACTATGATTCTGGAGACTGGGGCATGAATCCAGTCAAGTCACACTCTCTCAGCCCCAAAGGGAGACTCTGGGGTCGTTCGCACTAATTTATAAACCGGCTTGCAAACCGGTTTAAAAGTGGGTCGTTCACACTTGCGTTGTTTTTTTCTGACCCAAATTCAAAGGGGGGGGAAAAATAATTTCTCCCCTTTGTCCTTGGTTTATTTTCACTGCTGCAAACTAAGTAGTTTCCCTTTAATGAATTCAGCAGGAGTGAGATGAGAATAGCAGTATCTTGCTCTTCCCTGCAGACGCAGGTAAAAGTGACTGCTGCAGCCTCTCTTAGTTTGTGTCTTCTTCCTCATTAATAATGTAATCTCTCTCTGATGTTATGCTTGAAACCTGCCTTGATTCCCTTTGGAAATAGGCAGGCCAGAAATAAATCATATTATAATTATTATTATTATTATTATTATTATTATTATTATTATTATTATTTTGCTTGGCAATACATGTCCTGGTTTTTCATCTGTGAAGTGTTGAAGAGTATGCTTCTCTTGGTGAGACAAGACAAGCCAGAGCATTTGGACAGTGCACACTTATTTACAATATGTTTGTGAATAAGAAGGCAGCAGGTTCATCCTGGGCCCTTTCACACTATGATAGTACTTTGGTACCACTTTAACTGTTATAGTTGCATAACGTGGAATACTAAGAAGGGAGGGCATTAAGAATTCTCAGCCAGGAAGCTCTAGTGCCCCACAAAAGTAAAAATCCCAGGATTTTGTAGGATGCAGCCATAGTAGTTAAAGTGGAATCACAATGCTATAACTGTGTAGTGTGAAAGGACCCATAAACATGACTATTGTCAAAGGCTTCTTCCAGGCAATGCTTTCCATTGGAACTATGGCAGGATTCCCACCTGGGAAGTATCCATTGTCTCTCCGGGTGTAGCTCCAGGTGGAGATGAATACTGCTGGAAATATTGTGTTGTTTTAATATAGACCAGCACAGAAATTTGTATTTTTGGAATGCCGTTTAGGGGTATAGTCATAGGCATTGTCATAATGAGGGTTTGCACTTAAAAATATCTCACTGCACCACTGCCTAAGGAGAAGCACAAGTATTTGCTGCTGGGTTTTCCAGAAGGAACAATTTGACACTGAGATGATTCATGGTGAAGAGTGAACTCTGCAGTGGCAGGGAGACACCCTGGGGATGTCATTGGGTCACTGACTAGTGACATGAAGATAAAAATTCAGGATTTCAGGTTTTGTTCACAGCAGCAATTGCTTTGGCTCCATATCCCAACTGTCCTGATTTGGGGGGACAGTCCCAATGAATCTTCTGTCCTCCCCCTTTTACCCTCTGCTTGTAGAATGTCCCAGTTTCTCTTCCCACTTCATCTTGGATTACTTCCCTTGATGCAAACTGAGTTCAAAATGCAAAAATCATTTGTGTTCAATTAACTTAGAGGGGTGCAGTGGGGTGGTGAAGGAGACAAGGGGGTGGAATCCTGCCTTTCCCAGTAGGGTCAGGCAAAAGCAAACTGCTGAAGCCTCTCCTACCTTGTGTGTTTTTCCTTATTAATAATTTTTGTCATCTTGACCACACTCTTGATGTTGCTTGGCCACCCATGTCCCATTTTCATCAATGAGAATTTGGAGGGAGAGCCAGCGTGATGTAGTGGTTTGAGTGTTGAGCTATGATGCTGGAGACAGAGCCCCGCTGAGCCATGACACCCACTGGGTGACCTTGGGCATGTCACACTCTCTCAGTCTCAGGGGATGGCAATGGCAAACCTCCTTTGAAGAAACTTGCCAAGAAAACCCTGTGACAGGTTCGCCTTAGGGTCACCATAAGTCAGAAAAGACTTGAAGGCACACAACAACCGTAACAATGGCAGTTGCACTTTGGGAAACCCACTTGGGGGAGAGGTTGCCTGCTGGCTCCTCACATCTCTTCCTTTCCCTGTCCTTCCAAGCATAAAAGAAACTTTGCTGGCAGCTGGTGCTGAGTACCTCTCATGGTCCCTTCTCCACTTTCCGGTGCACACACTGCACATTACTTTTGGACTTGAATGTTTTATGCAAAGCAATTTCCACTCCCCTGAGAAGCTATAAGCAGAAACTACCTTTCCAGAGTGCAGCTGAAATAATCAGGGATTTTTAAATTCATGAATCAAAGGGGCATGTTTGTTTCCTTTGGCAAAGAATCCGCTTCCAACGTCTGGCCTTCTAGATTCTCAGCCTGCTTTCCCCATCTCCGATTAATATACTTGTTTTATGTTTCACAATCTGCAATTCATAATCTAGGAATTTGCAATTTAATAATTCACGCTTTGAGAATTTTCAAACTCCTCTTTTTTTTTTTTGGTTTGTTTTTAAAATAGCACTAAGAGAGTCTTTCAGTTCCCCAAGGTTGGACTTATAACTAAGCTTCTTATTAACTAAACATCAAACCTCAGATTGAAAGCTCACCAGCTCACAAAGAATCCACTCAGGACCCC